ACCTTAGCTTTTCTGCTCTCACACTGGCTAATCCACAGGGAAGGCCCTCCTACTGGTTGCACACAAGCTGGGAGCACGACTGTTGACTTTTAATGGTTGTGGCATACATACACAAAAATAACTCACAGGGTTGTTTTTTTTATTTAGCTGTAATTTGGCAGCATTTTACTTTTTGCCTGTATATTCCATTCATGCTCTTAGCTGAAACTATTATAAAAGCTGGAAAAAAACATAAATAACTTGAAGCAAAGTCAAGGACAGTTGGTTTGTAACAGTCTCAATGCTCCATATGTGTAACTAACTCCAACACAAGCTGAATAAGAGTACAGTTAGAACATTCCAAATATTTTACTCTCTACGTTAAACCAGACACAATCTGAGAACAAATATGTTGTCAGGTAAGACACTAAAACAACATCCAAGCGCAGTTAAAAATATCTGAACTGTACCTTTAATGATGCAACAATCTACTTACTAGATCTGTTTTCTGTTTCAATTTATTATGAACCCGGGATGCAAAGCAGAAGTCATATTGTTTTCATACTGTTTATTTATTTATTTTATTTTTAAAAAATTTGGTCAACCATAGCACAAAAAAAGCCGCATCGATCAACATGGAATTTGGTGGGAATGTAGATGTGTCCGACCTACACTGCGCCAGTAAACGGTTTTACGATAGACCCCAGGTTTGAGAAGGGGGCTCCATCTGAAATGGAAGTGTTTGGGCATAAAAATGCTTATAACTCAAAAACTAACATTGGAGCTTCAGATTATTATTATTATTATTATTATTATTATTATTATTATTATTATTATTATTATTATTATTATTATTATTATTATTATTATTATTATTATTATTATTATTATTATTACTCTGATCCTTTGAGCCCACCAATAAGCACCCCCAATCCCCTCCAGACCCCAACCCAAAGCATTGAATCTGTTTTGGTGACTCCCAAGTTCTGGTGCATTGGTGCTTTGCGTATGTGCGGGGGTCATATGCTACTGCTATGTGGTGTCTTGTTTGAGTCCATTAGCATTGAAAAAATGAAAAAAAAATAAAGCTCAGTCTACGGACACAGATCAGTGGGTTTAATGTTTGTGCTGGGAGACTGGGTTGGTTATGCAACGGTAATGAACTCTTCACAAGGTCTTGCGGAGATTAGTTTTCTGAACCCTGCCTTCAAAACCTAAACTAATCCTCTCATGTGGTTCATCCTGCCACCACAGTGCTCTTTCTTTCACTTACTACCACTCACTCATATAGACTGTTTTAATCTCTATCTGCCATGGGATTAATGTGACTTCATATGCAGCTTGCAGTTGGTCAGTTGGTTAATTTTAGCAGCAAACACCAGCTGTTCAAGGGGAAATGATCTCTGTGCAACAGATCAAATTGTAGCTGTGGAAGGCAGTATTCAGGTGTGAATATTGTTTGTGTAACTGTGAGTATTCTCGGGGTGTGTTACTGCTAATAATAGCTGAACTCTTAGTGAAACTTACCTAGAAGAAAAAAACAACATACAGATTTTTACTTTGGTGTATGTCGAGTACAGTACTGGAGTGCAGTGAAGTGAAGTGTTTGTATCCTGCAGATGGATAAAATAAAGCAATATGATAGAAATAGTTGTTTACAAGACAGCATTTTGATATGCTACAAAAATACATTGAAAAAGATAAAATGAAAAATACAAACTATTAGAATTGATCGGCACAGCCAAGTTGAGTAATTGCCATCTAAGCTTGGCCAAGTAAAATATCAAGTGTAACGAGCTTTGGCGAAATGGGAAAATACGCCCATAAATAAGTTTGTGGATCAAAATTTGATTTTGAGGATGGAAGAATCTTATAAAGGGACAACCATTGTTGCAGGCATCCTCTAATTAGGTCTTTCTCATAGAGTGGTCAGACGAAAAGCATTTCAAAGACTCTTTACCAAGCAGACTGTTCATTTTGAATAATTCAAAGATAATTTCCCCTTAATGCACTGATCAGAAAATGCCAATTTAATCAGCATGTTCAAAAACTGCGTGACCTGATGAAAATCCCAGTAACAACCTGAGGACATGGAACATTAGTAAATCTGGACTGATGCTCTGCCACACCAGTGACAAGGTCACCTAACCTTCAAGCTCTGGGTTACTGCTCTGCCATGTTATATGAAAACCTTAGTTAAAAAGTAATTGCTGCAAAGACTGGCAAATCAATTTGTGCAAGCGGCTGTAGGAAGAGTTAAAGTCTGCCCATTCCTCATGTGGACACAAGTTATTTCCCTCAAGCTTTCAATAAAAAAGAAGAACAAAGTTGAAGAAATAAAGGAGTTTTCAGCTGAAAGTCTTAGGAGCAACGCATTGCTTTTGAAATATCGATTTTTCAGATCATTGAAATTAGTCCCTTTTACTGTAGGCAGAGTATTGTATATCTGTGCTGCAAGTGTGCATGAGTGTACACTGCTGATTACTGTCTGGTTTATTTTAAATTGTTTTTTATTATTATTTGTTCATTTCAATGCTACTTTACAAGTTATCACAGATTATTTTTATACATGCGCACTTCCCTTATCTTTTTCTAAACTGTAACCAACATAACAATTACCTCCTCAAATTCATGACAAACTACTTTTATTCAAATAAATCTTTTTTTTTTTTTTTGGATTGTTTCCTTGCAGCTGTGAGGTTATGCTCCTACAATGAAAAAAAAAAGACTCTCTACAACTGAATGACTAATACAAGC